GTTGTACTTAATTGTATTGTTGAAAGGAAACGTTATGATGATCTAGCTCGAAGCATTGTGGATGGACGCTTTTTGGAGCAGAAGGTAAACGTCTTATTTTTATACCTAGGTTATCTTTTAACAAAAGGCTTAACATAATACCCATTCACTTGTTTATTATGCTTACTTTATGGTGATGTTTATTGCTATTTGAAGGTATGAAAGAGCATAACTTATGACCATCCAATAATTACTCTTTTCGGTGTGTTATGCCGTGATTTACATTTTAAAGTATAGCCGGGATAGCACGGAGTATCTTTAAATTTGCAAATTTTTAGCTTTAGCACATGTATTTAGAGGAATCATTGAATAATATCTGATACTTGTATTTAAAGATCAAGACAACGAATTTTCCCATGTTATTAGGATGAACTGGGTAAAAGCACTATTTCATCTTTCCAAGTTAATACTCCAGAAACTTGTATTTAGACTAGCTTATCGTACAAAGCAATTTTGGGGGTGAGATTTCCTTCTTAAGTTTGCTTATTTCCAGAACTCCATTTAGTCATAGATTAGTTTTAGAAGCACCTAACAAAGCATATAGTGGCTCGGTTGATTACCCTTTTGGCATTTTGTTTTTTATTCTGTATTGCATAAATCAACCATGAATTCTTTTATTTAAGTTTAAATAATTAATTAAGGAATGGGGACTTCAAGATATACAAGATCAGGTTTATGCATATTTACTATTTTATTTATTAGTATCGTCTAAAGCGCACTGGCTTCTCTCGGTGCATCTATTTGTTCGAAGAGTGTTCAGTAATGCGAAATCAACGAATTTCTTTCGAGACTCTCTTGCAAGCTATCGCGAATACTCAGGTTAATTATATTTAATTTTTTATCTGTTTGTTTATTTAGTTAGTTAGGTTTTATCGAATTTTATTAATCGTTCTATGTTACCATGCAACGTTCGATTTTTGCGTTTAATTTGATCTTGCTTACTCCTATTTTCCATGTATCTTATGTGTATTTTAATGTGTTTTATGACGATTTTGCCATATAATCATGTAAATTGTGGATACATTCTTAGGCCATTCCTCCGATCGCTTAGCATTATCTGTGAAGGAAACTTAATTTTATGCCAAATTTTATCCATTTTCTTTTCTTTTCTGATACTTATTGAATTTAAAATCTCTTCAGCCAGAGCTGATATTTTTGGCTAATTAACTTATTTTTTTCTAGCTTATGTCTGCTTTTTTAACCATTCTGCTATTTTATTCTTCTTTTTTTAACTCAGATTCTTGATGGCTTTGACATAGTGACTAGTAAAAATGCAACTAATACTGTGCACTTGCTGGCTGCTATGACTCGAGCTTTAAAAGCCTCACAAATCGTAAGCTGTCTTGTCTTTGTTGCATGATGTTTAAAAAATGTTCTTAATTTTATTTTTTTTAAAGTTTGTTCTTAAGTTATTAGAGCCAATATCGAAAATTATTCATTTATTATTTATGCATTACACTTATTATCATCAGTCATTTTTTTCAACTTTCTCTAGGCCTTGAGTTTGTAATGTATGCTAAGTCGTAAAAATACTGGAATGATCACAG